GGTTTGATAGCATAGCACAGTATTTTGCGTCTCATACCATTGTACGTTTAAATAGGACCGTTTAAACTACGTGGAACGTTTTTCTAGCGGTTCTGGACACTTTCTGGATTAGATTGGATAACTTATATATCTAACTCTTTTGTTTAGACTGACCCGAAAATCGTCCCAATTTCGTCTGTAAAACGCCCAGTGTGATTGAAAAAAGTGTGCAGTTTGGTTTGAAAAGGTCCCGAATTCAACCTTATCGGGGATCGAGTGCAGGGCTCTGCGCTCAGGCCAACAAAGCCTTCAGCCTTCCGGGCTCGCTTAACTGGTGTCACAATTGGGCGTTAATGATTTGCGGGGCGGAGAGGAGGGGAGGGGTAGGGAGCAGGAAGCAAGAGCATTCAAAGGAATTCTTGTGCAAAACTAGGTTAGATTCATCCGGCCAGATGCTGTGCGTGAGTATGGTTCACCCCTTGTCGAACTGCTTCCCCTTCAGGTTTACGCTAGAGCTCGTATACCTGCATGCAGGTAATGCCGGCTCTGCACAAGGTGTCCTTCAAATGCCCCTCCAAGTTTATTAGAGGTGTGTGACATGACAATCGCAATATGCGCTGGTGGGTGTGGCGCTAACGGACGAGCTGTCCTACTTGACCCTTCGAATGTGAGTGTCAGAGATATGGGAAAATTTTAAAGCACCTTTATGGAGTCTGGCCGCTGCTCAAATTCATATGATTTCGCTGTTCCAGTTGACAGATCGTCTGCCACGCATGACCGCATGATACGCCGCGCGCTGCAAAGCGGCAGTTGCGATTGTCTTGTCCGTTTCCCGGTGATTAGCGCCCCTTACTCGTAATGGAAGATAAAGCCGTTCTTATCTCGGTCCTGCACTTTATTATGTAGCCCTCGAAGTATCTTAACTGTTACTATACATGTCACCGAAAGGGGTTAGTGCTGAGAGACATCCTTTGCCATTTATATCTAGGCGGACGACCCTATTTTCAAACGTTTCCCCGCCTCTTCTATGAATTTTTTTGTTTCAGAGTCCACAAACAGCCGTGTATTGTACCTATCTATTTTCTCTATGTTCTGTCTTCTGGCATTGGCTATCTGGCAGGTACGTCGAGTTTTTCGAATATTTACTTTCAGTTTTTGGCTCGCTTCGGTAACGGTTGGAGGGGTAGGCAGTTTTGCATTTTTGCTGCTCCCCATTGTCGTGTTCACTGCTTCAAGAGTTGTAGTATCCACAAACTTTGACTGTTATTACTTCATCATGGCATCAAACTTCATATGTCTCTACTGTTGGTGACAACGAACAGAAGTAGGCAGCGATGTGCAATGCGGCCCCCACAAGACCCCTTCCCCCTTAAGGCCGACTGCGCCAGAAGCTCTCTTTCATCTCTAGCGGAAGATTTTGTTTACGTGCGTTCCTAAGGCCGCAACTACTGGTTACTAAAGGAAGAAGCTCAATATGTGCTAAGCATTAGTGCGCAAAGATGAAAACATGAGTTTTTTGAGTGATGAAGACATTGTCTCTTGGGTGACTGCATCTTGTCGTAAGTTTCATAAATTTGACTGGACGGTGGTTATCTGTGGCGGGCTACGCGTGTGCGATTAACGTTATCTTTTTTTTGTAAGTCACCGAATTCCTTTTGGCCTATGTCGTAGAGTTTCTGACTAATATTTTTGTTTGCCCGTAAAGAATAGTGGGCTAATATGGTTTAGCTAGCCTTGTAGCTTATTGTATTTATTGTTGGATTTGTTAGAAATGTTTTATGTAAACAGTATTGTTCTTCTAAACGGCGTTCAGACTCGAGAATACGCGCGGTGCGACGCGCGTACAATTGTAATAGGTTCAATCCTATAGCCGCAGAGGAACGTTCCGCAACAGGAATGATCTTTCTTAGCTAATCATGGTTCTCGGGTTATTTTTTTTAATAATGTATTCGGAGACCTACTGCAGCGATTAGTCAGTAGTGTCTAGTGGAGACTTCTGTAAGAGCTGTCGTGAATTGAATGTCCTTTTATTAATAAGAATTAAAAATGGAATGTTTCAGTGTCTTCCAGGAGAGTGTGTGAAGTTGATTTATTTTGCTCTATCGGAAGACATATCATCATCGTAGTCCAGTCCGCCATTGCTGGTCGAATAGTAGTATTGACGTTTTAGCTGGAAATAAGCGGAAAATGGTTCCTGAATAGAGGTTTTCCTTAGGAGTCCGCGATGGGAACGGAGGTACAAAGGGTGGGTGATGCAGGAGTTATGACAATGCGCGACGGAGGCGCGAACTAGGTCAGCACGACGCTTGCGACGATCATTATAAGATCTACCCTCATTGGCTGCTGTGCTAGGGACAGGCAGGTTTCGCCTGCACCTAGATGGGTGAGTAGCTATCAGCCACACTCCCCGAAGCCGTCCATACCCTACTACTCCGCCGTCCCCCCGTAGTGCACGGAAATTTCACTATTGTCCCATCGAGAGTGTCCATTGGCCAAACACCTTCCTTTCAGCGATCGAGGAAGTTTTGGGATGTCTCCTCCCGCGGGATAGGGACGTCGGACAACGTCACAATATTGCTGTAGGCGCCCTTTTCAAGAACCATCTTCTACACTGCGGATGGTGGGCGCGCCAGGGGCTGGCTTTGGTGCGGCGCCAACTGGATCTCCGGAATTGTGGAAGCGAGCAAGCCACCAAATGGTGGGGAAAGGGCTGTGCCGCGCCAAGGAACTAACTCCCTCCTCGCCGCCCCCCGCATCGCACGCCTCGCATGCGCAATGATGAGACTGTATGTCATATATAGAATGCACGGAACAGCAAAATCATCAAATAAGACTCTGCGGAGTCCCCAAAGTACGACGTTCCCTCGGTGACAGGGGATCAAATCGAGAAAGAATGTCTGAAGTGTCGGGTGTCCCTATCCCTCCTAAGAAGCCATTAGGTAAAGAATTGTCCAATAGCTGATTTTTATATGCAGCCCATTGGAACTGTTACATGAAGGTAAATTACCCATATTGCATGCCGCTTTCGTCGCGCCGTCGCAACCCGAATCTCCCGACAAGCACACGGGACGTCTCATTCAGTCGTTATCACTAAAGTCGGCCGGGGTGTGTCAGCGGAGCACGGGTTCGGAACGGCGCCAGTCCGTTTTTCGTCGATCGTTGCGCTTTCGGATGTTTGATGAGTGGTGACAAAGAAGCTGGGTCGTAAGAAAACCTACGCGCTGCTGCCACTTCCCGACTAGCTTCAGTGAGAACGACTGTAAGTATCGCATTACCACGATTGAATTCTCACCTGCTGCTTTCTCATTTTGGCTTCGGCATCAGAAATGTTCATATCATTGTCGATTGCATGTAGTTGTGCAGCTAAGTCGCCGAAACCCCGTTGTTGCAATTGCTGTTGCCGGAGCTGGCTTTCGCGCTGCTCATCGGCTTGCTCACGTTGTACTGCTTGGCTGTATTGTTGCTAAAAATGAGACATTATGAATCGAAATGCCATAGTTTTTAGGGTATAAGCCGCCTGTTCGCTTTGAGTTCTGGGAATTTTTTAAATTTGTCACAAGTATCTGCGTATTGAGCAGCTTTTGAGGCATCACGGTGACACCAGCAGGAGGAGACACACCCGAAATGGGCGGTGGCGTACTCGAGATGGGCGGTGCTTCCCACAAATGTCGGTAACTCGGTCCCCGAGAGAGTTTAGAGATTGCAAAAAAGTCCAAGACAAGCCCACCATTATCGAAGAACATGGCGAAGACAAGCCCACCATTATCAATAGTTTTTCAGAGGGCCCTGGAGAAGGCTACTTGTGCTCCAGAAAATAGGGTTTTCCCGATTTTGTTGCAAGCTGTGATAGCCCGGCAAAGAACTGACCTGGACGTTTGGTGGCTGCCTGGCGAGAATTGCGTCCAGTTGCCGTTGTTTCTCGTACCTAAAAAAATCAGTGAGTTTCGAAGGCTTTGAAGTCCAACAAGTCTCGAGGCGCCAAAACGAAGGCGCTGGTCATAAACACCATCAGAATGACGTACCGGATCATTTGGTCGTTGTCGTCAAGTCGTTCGAGCTGATCCCCCCCCCCGCCCCCCCCCCTCTATCGTCTTTGATGTCACGAAGTCCTCCAGCTCATCCACGTGCACTGGACTGCCAGACACTGATGCTATGGCAATTGAAGTAATCAAAAGAAGACACTTCTTTTATTCTGAACACGTATTCAGATTCACAAGGAGAAAATGGAGGCTGTTTCTAACGCGACTGAACGACTTTAGAACTTGAAAATACGTATTCTCAACGCACAGCAGCCTGCTTGTGGGCGGAGTCTAAAATTTTAGGGAACGATGCAATGAGTAAAGCTATGCCTAAAAACTCGCGTTCAAGCGTCGCTGAGCGGCTGAAGGATGAGAAAGTAGGGGGCTACAGTGGCTTCTAAAAAGATGTAATAAGTAGTCTCAAGAGAGCGGTGAAAGCTATGATGAGTGGATCGTTTAGTAACAGATTTTATAGCTGCTTGTTCGCGACCAAGTAAAGTAAATAGAGATGATCAATGGTACTCGCAAGTAGAACTTGGCACTATTGTGTGTCAATCAAGCTGCTTTTGAGTTATGAACACACTGAGGTTGAACAAGCTGACTTGTAAGGTGTTCTGAAATTCAATATCCATTTGGAATGCGCCACGTATACGACTTCTACTGAAAACCGCAGCGGCTTTCGGATGCGCAGCGAGCCCATTTACAAATTCTGGAAAGCCTGCTATGCTCCTGCTCCGGAGATGGTAAAAGATACCAGATTCCGCCTGGAAGGGTAAACCCCTTGTATCGGCTAGTTCCCATAGGCTGCATAAGCCACAGCGCAATAAATAACCACTACGATGCTGAACGGAAGTCTAATGGCTGTCGCATTCCAAAAAGGGATTGGCCGGCGGCGAAAACTTTATTCATCCGCTTTGTTAACCCATATGTATACTCTTTATCCCTGAGACGGGGTAGGCGTGGCATTAGAACATGGTAGGGAACTGGTCACTCGTGGGATATTTAATTGGATATTTAAATTTCAGACAACCGCCATCTTGTTCTTTGTTGGAAAAAGACGTGACCACATTTGGGTCAAAATGAAAATGTCTTTCCAAGAGCACAGCCACCACGACGTTTAGTTGAAGTACGCAGCCACGCCTACCTCATCTCAGGGATTTCGAGTGTACTTCTGCAACGATTGAGTGGTTATTGGGTGGTCTCAGAGGTTGTTGAGTACGTATTGGTAGTCTGGCGCTAAAACACCAAACAAACATAGTTGCTCTCGCTGCCGGGTGTCGCAAATGTCTATAAATACCACAATGTTTGACTGAGTCAAGTGTTTTTCAAAATATTTCCCCTAGAATCAGTTAAGAACGCTGAGCAGAGTCCTATGTTCTTCGATTTCCGAGTCACAGAATTAATCTTTGCTCAGCTATTTCCTGAAGTCAGATACTTTTATTTGTTTTGGGGCTTCGATACCTATATTTCAGAAGTCCATTCAGCGATTGCATTTCATGAGTAAGGGGTGTAAACCCAGAGGAAAGTTGTACTGTTAAGAACCGGTTGGGCAAAGCAATGAAATGCCAGAAGTGGGTTGAAGTTTCAGTTGATTGCCAGCATTGAACGAGGGCACTCGAAGAAGCGAGACACTAGGTCCATGGGAGAGAGATCACAGAACGAAAGAAAAGAAGAAGACAAAAAAGAAGGAAAGAAAGAAAGAGAAAGATTGAGAAGATTGAGAGAGCAGAAAGACAAATGAGATGCGGTTTCACACTAACGTTATAGCGTTCTTACAGACACATTAGTTCTTTGAGACGCGGTAGGCTTGGCTAGGTACTTCATTTGAACATTACCTGGGAATGGCTATTGGTGGGATATTTCGATCTCAACCAACTCTCTCCTTCCCTTGGACAAAGAAGCGTTGTCCCGAAACGAAATTATCTCTTCAAAAATGCAGCCGCAGCCAAGTGCGAATAAAGTACGTAGCCACGCCCACCCCATCTCAGGGAGTCAGGTCACTTCCTGTCGCTGAGAAGAACTTTTGCAAAAAGCTAATCTTTCTCAAAGCGACCCTTTCCTTCCTCTCTCTCTCTCTATCTCTCTCTCTCTTTCTCTCTCTCTTCTCTCTCCCTCTCTCTCTCTCCCCTCCCCAAATGGGTGCCTCCCAGCGTTGTTGACAGTGCATGTGAGGCAAGAGAAATTAACTATCTGGAAAAATTATCCTGGCCAAATAAGACTTTTCGCTGGATTTGGAAAATGTAAGACTTGTCGCTGGCGCCACTTATTCGAAAGCTGTGGTGGAAGTGGTAGAAGCTCTGCGATCATGGACTCCGCCCACCGGATAATCACAGAATGTGTCTTTAAGCTTCAATTTCGTCAGGAAAGTTACCACCTTTCACCATCTGGACAAACAGAAGAAACACATAAATTCATTTACCACATAGAAAGAGATCCAATATTAAGAAGAAGTCGCAATAAGAACTGATTAACGATAGCATTTGGAAATTATGCTTTTTCTCTAGGGAAATGCAGCACTGCGCCCAGCCGTCAGCCCTTTTTCTCGTCTTTTCTGCAGTGGTCGAGCGTTTCTAGTGCTTCGACGAGAAGACGCCTCAGATGATCGGTGTGGCAGGCGTCAAACGCCCACAGCTGAAAATCGCTGTATATAACTTTCTGGCCATATTTGTACTGAAATGTAAGAGAAAGCCTTGATTATTCGGCGTCAATCAATCCATTTTGGGGGCGCGCTCTAAATTCTACTTCAACTCATAATCCCGATTGTATTGCTAACAGGGTGAAAAGCGGCTCTGGTGGCCTGACGGATAGCTCATCTACCCGGTAAGCGTGAGGTGGGAGTTCGAGTCCCGCCCTGGGTCGAGACTCTTGCCTATAGGCTGGCATTTTTGGGATAACTTTTGGAACTTGTTAGGCTCATATTTGAATAGCAATCATTGTTTTAAAAAACGTTCTGAAGCAGAATAGCGGTAGCACTTACTGTTACCTTTCTAATGCACCTAGCAGTTTTAGATGGAGATAGAAACGAGAACTAGTGCCCCGCGAGAACGGTTATATTTGGTTGCTGGGAGGAAAAGGAGAGAGGGGGGGGGATGTGGTTGGGGGGAAGGGATCGGTGTGGTTATATAAGAATTTTCGCAGTTTTTGACATTTCTCTGTTTTTTCCCGTGCGTTGTTGCGTTGATCGGGCGTTGATGTCCCCTCCACCTCCCCCCTCCATCTCGACGACAAATTTCTGGAAAAAGAACTGGAGACTTTCTCCAGAAAAGCCGTAGGAAGCTGGAAAAACGCAGGAACTTGGATATAATAATGTGGTATATAATAGTACAAGAATATGAAAACAACCAAAATCTCCTACGATTTTGAATGGGAAAAATGGCGTGCTACACTCTCAATAATAGATATAATATATAATATATATATATAATATAGTCATTTGATGAGCCCGCGGAGGTGGATGTAATGACAAGCTGGGCGCCTATACTCCGTCGCGCGGAAAATAGAGAGAAAATTTTCGCACAAAGCCTTGCTTCCTCCGGGGAGAAGATAAAATTGGTACCAGATATATGCTGGGAAGGATAAAACACTGACTTGTACATGGCTGGCCCCACGCAGTCAATGTATCACAGAGACATCGCATTCAATAAGCCACTACGATTCTGAATGGAAGTAGAATGCGTGCCGCATCCCACAAAGGGATTGATCAACGGCGAAGACTTTATCCTTTTTTATCCTTTATCATTCTTAGATTGCTGATGAGACCATGATGACATACTCTTTGTCTGGTAAGTGAACTAGGCAGCGAACGTTGATACACACAAACCTTTACAATGAGAATAAGAGAAAAAACTGCTATCGTCACATATCGTAACTAAAATAATATACAATTAAAAAAATCAGTTTCCTCCGTGTCAGAGCTCATATATAGAGAGGGGCGAATTTTGGTTGGAGGCCGGGGCGCAAATTCGCAGGAGCAATAGGATCTCGCTATTTCCCCACAGACATCAGCTGGAGACCTGTGTGATCTTGTGAAGCCATGAAGTAATGGCAGCCTAAGTTTATAGAGATCACCTGTCAACTCTCGTAGAGAATAACTGTCAACTCTTGTCCAGCAATGAACAGCCCCCCCCCCAAGCCGAACCCTGCCGAAATGAGGAAAAATCGATCTAATGAAGAAAGTATGTTGAAGCATGGAGAAGGGAAAACAGCTTCTCATTTATACCTATGAATGCCCTTTGGTCACTACCGAGGAAACCTAAACATACCCTGGTCTCTTGTATGGGCCCTGACCGCCAGAAGAGGTGGCTACGGACAGGCAAAGGACTTTATATACCTTCAAGAACGAAAGTGACTTGTAACAGTCCCGATAGAAGAGCTATGAAATATGGAAAAAAAATTCATCAAGGGAAAAGACCCAGGGAAAGCCAGATTTTCCTGTGAGGTTCTCATTATCAAGGAGCCGATGTACTTACCTAAATTCAATTACGGTAATTTGACTTGGATGCGAAATAAGCATTGTACAGATCAACAAGGCAAATATTGATATACAAATTCCACCGGCTTGAGCTGCATGACAAACGAGAAGAGGCCAGCTGAAATTCAAACGTCTTCGGCAACACCTCTCAAGCCAAATGGCCACAAATTCAGCGATTCCCCACAAGTTTTTAGATTTATGATTAAATATAATTGGTTTTTATGGACTTGTCGGCTCTGGGTTATATCACACAATTACGACGATGCCCTGTCGTTTTTAGTATACGGAGCCATGGCGCGACAGACGGTCAGCAAATCCGAGTCGCGGTGGTGCAGTGAAAGCGTAGTTGCGAGTTTCGGCGCTTGTGCGGCACATGCCCGTTCCACCTGGTTTCTGAGCGTCGCCACAGCTGGAAAGGTGACGATCCTGCTGTTCCCGACAAACTTGCTACCAACTTGCTCCACTGAAAATGTAGCGCTTGTTGTCAAGCACTCTTTTAAGGGCCAGAGGCTATCTGGTCCCAGTATTTGACCGGTAAACCATGCTTTATGCAGCGCGCTACTCACTAGTA